ACCACAGATGTGGCCACACATTTACAATGCTAACTAGCATATATACATTTTCTTCTGTCCTCCACAGACAGGATGAAAGATTTGTCAAACATACAGTTCAGAGATTTAATGAACAACCACAGATGATGATCGTAGTGCTTTTAAAATGTTAGGGTAAGCTACATACGTAAATACATAGATACAGATTTATGAATGCATTAATGTGAATTTATAATGGAGAAATGTAATTCTGATCAGCTTTATACTTTATATACATACATACACACACGCATATACATATATACACACACACATATTTGTCAAGTTCAAGTAAGTTTATTGAGACACGAAAAAATACATCTCAAAGGGATAGAGTAGCTTAGGCTATTTCTACCCCCCCCCCCCAGATATATTTGTCTCTTACTGTGACAGGGTGAGATAGCTGACAAGAGAAACTAGTGTGCAATTAAGAACTTAACCACTGAAGGTGATTAAGATGCTTTTACAAGCTCAGGTTATATAGTTACATTACATGGTTAATCTAGGGTACAAGTCCAATATATCATCAAGTGTTCCAGTACTCATATAGTAGTTACAGAGTTCAGCATAACTCAGCCCAGGAGGGCGAAAGTCCGACAATATGGGACATTCTACAGTGGAAGGGATACAATGACGTGCATGTGATAAACCTGAAATTGAGCTAGACTTGGTTATTCAAATCTGTTGTGAAGACCACACTAGTTCTAGAAATTAGGGAAGGCAGACAGCAGTCACCGACACAAGGAGCAAAAAGCACAAGTATAAAGGATCCAAGTCGGATTCGGTCTCAATTTACAATCGGGAATAACGAGTTCGAATCTCAAGCGAGAAATGGTTGGGCGAGTTTCCTATCACCTTATGCCCCCTGTTCATCTAGCAATAGATTAGAATTTTTTTTTTATTTATTTATAAAAGAAACCACAGAGTACAAACAGAAAAGCTACATACAAGAAAACATGAGTACATACATGATACACAATATAGGATACAAGAACACAACAGGCAAATAACCCAAACATAAGAATAATCAAAAGTGAAACATACAAGATACAAAGCATATAACAGACCCCAACACGGGCACAGAAGACAAGCTAAAAGCAGTACAGGACACAAGGCATTAATAACAGAAAACAGAACCACACAGGGAACCGTAAGTACAAAAAATAAACAAAAAACAATAAAAAAATACACAAAAACATGCAAACGACCAAAAGGCCTTAAGAACACAAGTACAAAATATATACCATCACCACACTAAACACACTACTACATCAGCACAATAGCACACCAGCCATGCATACTATACAGAGCTGGAAATATAAAACCACACCCAACCACACAGAACATATACAGAAAGACACAAACACACGCAAACCGGAACACGCAGGAACCGGAAAAAAAAACCCGACCCAGACACAGACACACATCCCCACCCCACCCTACACCCACGCACTCAGGCGCAAGTAACCCCACAACACAACAGTCAACGAGGAGGATATTTCTCAGGAAACTGCCACGGCGGATACTTCCGTTTATAAGCCTCCCATATTAAATACTCCAGTTCGGTAGGTGAGCGGCCCTCACGACACCGCGGGTACTCCATATACTCGGGAATCTCCACATCCGGCGGAAGCGGTCGCGCCCAACCACGGTACACAAAAGACGAAGAACCCGTCTTGGGCGGCATGGACGACACCGCCGAGGAAGCAGGAGACACCGGAATAGCGGGTGGAGGCTGCAACACCGCCCCCGACAAAGCAGGAGACACACAAGAAACGGCCTGAGACGTGAGGGGCGGCAGAACCGCCGCCGACGAAACGGGGGACGAGGGAGGGGACACGGAACCCTCAGAGCGCCCAGCTTTCTTCAAGACCATCTTCAGGTCCCCACGTCCACCCCCCCACGGGGAACCGGAACCATCCGACGCGGGCGACGCCCCCGAAGCAAGAGGTACCGGCCCCACACCGGCCCCCCACCCCAACAGCAGGAGCCACATCAGGGCACACACCATCCACCGGACCCACACCAGCACCAGACGCACCATCCTCGCACACCACAGATGAACAGCTCGCAGAAGAAACATCGACACTCGCCGCATCCTCACATTCCTCTGCCCACGACCGAGGAGGCGAAGCACCCGCATCCGTGCGTGAACGCTTGGGACAAGGCCGTTGATCATCGGAGCTGTCACCCCCTGCAGGAGGTACCTGAGAAGAGTCAGCGGTAGAGCCAGCGTGCTACCCCCCAACCGGGGTAGCACGACCCCGCAGAATATCAGCCTCAACAACACAGGGGACGAGACCGCCACCCACAGAGGAGACAGGAGAAGGAACAGGCGCGGCCGTAGGAGGAGAAGGGTCCAACATAGGTGAGGGAGCCTGCAGAGACGTCGGAAGGCAACAGAGGCGCAGTCGGAAACAGGTGGAGAAGCCGGTGAAAGCGACGAAACAAGAGTGCGGGGGCGGAGGCGTACACACCACCACCTCGTCGTGGACACCACCGTCCACACACGCCGGGCCAACAGCCACCACCAGGTCAGCAGGCGGCAGGGGAACCTCCCCACCCGCTCCATCATGAGACGGCAGGTCCCGCGCCACCAACGGGCGAAAATCCTTGTCCCGGAACAAATTAATAGGCGCAGCCGCGACCCCAGTGCAATCAGCTGCCAGATGCCCCTCAGCGCCACAACGAAAACATTGCCGAGGCTGTCCCGCGTAGAACGCCCGCATAGTGTAGCCCATCGAGGTCACCGCGGAGGGAACGAGAGTCCGAGTCCCACACGAGACACCACGCCACCTGCCAGCAGAGACGGAGTTCATCCGGATGGAAACGACAGTCCCAAACTGGCCAAAATACCGCCGAAGCAAAGCCTCAGTGAATTCAAATGGCACACCATGCAGGGCTACATACATTACCGAACAACACCGGTAAGAGATAACAACACCGGTGACGGTACCACCGTCCCCAGGGAGAGGAAGAGAGCGCCCATCGTAACGGGCCACAAAGTCTCTATAAACAGCAGCAGAGTTAAACTTAACAAGTGCCCGATGGGTGGACAGCAGTTGGAGCCCGTACACATCTGCAACACGCACACGCAACATACCCAACAGGACAATCTCAAGGGCTAGGTAAGACGCCCATCCAGAAAATTCCAGACCCACGGTCTCGGAGCGGCGAATAGGGGGGAGGGGGGGGGGTCCCCATGGCGCCGACGCAACACCACCACCCTCCCACACAGAACGCTTAGCAACGACCAGAGGAAAAAAAAGACCGGTCGGCTTAGGCTATAAAGCACCCAAACTGCCGACCATGATGTAAACAGTAGGCACAACTATTAGCGCGCCGCTGATGGAATGTAAAAATTTAGAAGACAAAAAGAAATGATTTATGTATATATAAAAAGTACTACTGAAAATCTCATGAAATGAGGTCATGTACCTCATTTTGATATAAAACATTTCTGAGTGTCCTCCAAATTCATTATTTTTACATTCCATCAGTGGCGTGCTGATAGTTTTGCCAACAGTTTACATCTTTTAAGGACGGGAGACATCTCCCGTCACGCAGGGTACAGTCGCACCACCACAGATCTCCAGTATCAGCTAATGATACTGGTAATGGCTCAAAAGGACCACCACTTACGGGCTATTCATGCCCGTGCTACCTTTTGGATGGCTTAATCTTCATCAATCAATCATCTTTTAAGGCACATGTTCTAGATACTTGAGAGCAGTAGTTCCCAAACTCTCTACGGTCATTACCACTTTTTCACATTATCCTTACTAACGGTCCCCTACACTCAGCAAAAGGGTCTCTGGTATCCTCTGGTATCAATCTGTACACTGCTTCAACTTGTGGTCCCCTACACATTGCAAAATGGCCCCCAGGGGGGCCCATGAACCTCAGTTTGGGTGTTTTAGGGCCTAAGTCGAGCGGTAGTTTTTTTTTTTTAAACTTGAATAAACAAATTTTTGTTCTGCACTGTAATCCTCCAAACAGAATAGGGTAGCAACTTATTGCTGCCCCATTCTATATAAAGGATTCCAGCGTAAAACAAAAAATTAGCCTAGTTCAACTAATATCTCCATCTCACAACATGGTTAGTTATACATAGAATCAAGAGAAAACACGAAACGCAAGTACTAGTATGCACTAGCGAACACCGAGTACAGCACAAGAATATCTTCAAATATTATCTAGTATGAACTTCAAAAGCGTTCAAAGTATTTCATACCATTTAGTGTGAAATCATTGATATGAACATTCACAGATTGTGCCCAAGCTCTTGTTCACAGTTGGAATGCTCACCACTGGGTAATTAGCGTTTATTATTATGCATCTAGGAGCTTCAAGAATTATCCTCGTAGCGTTATTTTGAATTTTCTCTAATGCTTTCACAGCCTTGTGCTGGGAAGTTATAAGGTGCAAGGCATGGTAGAAAATCTGGCCCTAATGCATATCAGTGTAGAACATTCTGGCATATTTAATATTAATACCAATGTGCTCTAGGAAGTGTTTTCAGTGGTTTTAGTCTTTCTTTAAGCCTAAGCTGTAGTTCGTTTACAATGTCGCCTAACGACTGCGAGCGATTTTATTGGACACGTCATCCATCTTCTCTGGTTAATTTATTAAAATGTTAGCGACATCTTGTGAACGATAACACTAAAAGCAATTAAAAACATCTAAACTTACAAAGTTGCGTATTTTGTTAACGTTAGCCTCCTTCACTTTATTGACACGAGTACACTTTTTTGTCAAGACAAATTGATTAAAAACTACCTTAATATGCTAAGTTAAAAAGTTCCAAATAATTCAACTTCAGGTAGAGGTATACAACGTTACTTCAAACTAACACCTGAACGAACCGAGATGCCCTAAACCACTCCATGAGGAATTAGCGCACGCAAGCCTAGACAAATATATTGAATAAATATTTATTCAGTAGTCATTTAGTGATGCATTTATTGTATCAATACTTATTACTTATCCTTGAAAAATATTTTCATCTATTTTAAACGTAACGAGCGAGATGTAAGTGTTAATTTCTTAACTTGTGCGTTAAATTTCTGGGTTGCTTGGCCGGTACTCCGCACCTGGGGGTGGGAGTCTATTCCTTTTGGGGTCTGTTCTTCTCTCCAGATTTAGGAGAACATTGATAATGTGCGTTAGAGAAGGTCTATCGGTGGGGCATCGGCTGCTTGCTTTCTCTGCCAGCCTCTCCAGCTCTGGATACTTACCTTTCATCGACCTGTGTACAGTACTATGTATTAGATTGCCAAGAGAGTAAACGTCTACAGCTCTCGTACACACTGCACCGTATTTTAACATCTCGGGCGCTATCCAAGGTAAATTCGAGTTTGTTTCCCCTTCAATCCCAGCGGTAACTTGGCCAAGGCGCTTGGCGATGCCATAGTCAATTATGGAAACTTCTGGCCATTCACCTAATTTTCCCTGGCGAATTACTACGTTTTCGTCTCTAAGGTCATTATGGATGATCATCTTGCTGTGCACCTCTGCAAGGGCCTGAGCGAGCTGCAAGATCATCCTAATACACCCGTGGTCAGTCTTTACCAAACTGCGTAAGTTCTGGAACGTACAAGAGCCGCAGTACGATATAACCAGTGCCTGGGGATCGAGGCACTTGCCGTACAAGATAGGAGCGCCCCCAGCTCCCGCCAGATGCAAGAGCACCTTCCCTTCTTCTGCTAACTCTGCTGGCGAAGTGTCAGCGTTGCCTACCTTGACACACCGCCATGTATCCTCATCATTCACGAGATACACTGTGCCAGAGGTGCCCGAGCCCAACTTTCTAGAACCTTTTATTAAGTTGTGCACCATGTCCTGAGTATACTCCTTTACCTCTATGTTCTCCATATTGAGTTATTTTCTTCCTTATGCACACGAGTTATATATTAATAAATTTCACTAAACTAAATATAAGGCAGCTGAATACCTCTAATTTTTTACTAACAGCAAAATGTCAAGGTCGTTTGCCAGTACAAGAGTTCCTTAATGTAAGAAACGAGTTTCGGCAACCTTTATCAAAGGTTGCTGGTAAAAGTACAAAGTGTCAAAGCAAAATATAAAAGTTGAAATAACTACTTATTGTCAAGTTAAAACACATTCAGCCGTTTAATATAATTAAACTATTATAAAAAACCGTTTGCCAGAGTAAAATTTAAGCACGGCTCTAATCTTAAAATTCATACATTTGTAGTGACATTATATAATCTAAAATACTGCATGCAACTTCATGTTAATGAAAGTACAGCTTACGTTAAAAGGTTAATAAACTAATTAAAAACGTTAAAAATGATATGGTGCTGTTACAGAAGAGTATGCTGAAGTTCTGAGGGAACATGAACAATAAAACATTGAGGAACACGACCAGTTGATTAATATCTTGGTTCCTTGTAGATGAACTGACCACGAATCTTCTTTCTTAGGTTAATTTACGCAGTGGCTCCTTGAAAAGTTCCCAGAGTAACTTTCTCAGAATTTACAGATGGGAGTAATATACGCCGTCGCTTTCCTAACTCGTAGGGAATGTTATTGCCAAAGTTCACTCGAGTCCACGCATCACATTCCTCATTTCGATCAACAATCGCTAGTTCTGTCTTGCTTCAGCACGTGCGCCCTTTCTATAGCTGCTTATGGGTTTTCTTTGTCGTTTGAAGTTGTGTGCGTGTCACCTGCATCATCAACCTGGAACAAACAACCAGTTTACTAACTGTTGCGTTATCTCGTGACAGCTGTGCTACTTCCTCAACAAACCTCTATACTCTATTACAAGTTTGGAGATTGATGAAATCAAGTCCAGCTTGTCGAGGATAATAAATCCTAAGAGTAAAAAGTAATCGGCAATAATTGCACAAGACTGCGAGTCAAAGGATAGGTGCATGTTATGAATGAAAACCTTTTAACTGTCTTGCAAGACAATGAAAAAACTATGGTAGAGATTAACAATGGCCAAGGAATTAAGTGATGCCAATAATTCATTTCAATTGGTAACTGGTGTACGACGCCACCACTCAGGACTCCGGCAGTGACAGTGTAACGGTGAGTGAAGTGGCTACTGTGGCTCAGAAAGAGGGTCATAATAATATGGTCAAGGAAGTGTGGGCTGAACTTAAAAAAATTGGCGAGTTCCTCCAAAATCTGGGGCAGAGAATCGAGTCCATCGAGGCTAAATTAAACGTTCAGGAGGTCAAGGAAAATCACAAAACGGTGAAGGATAGTCAGGATATAGTGGTTGAGGACAAAAATGAAATATTGAGTGATGAAATGAAGGAAAGTGAAGTGTGTGAGAATGATGATAGTCGTCGGGAAAGGAAGAACCCTATAATTACACATAAAATGAAAGAATCATTTGGGCCAATAATGGACATCTCAGGGCTGAAAAAATCTCTTGAGAATCGCAATGTCGCTTTTACTGGTGAACTTGGGAGGAGGTGGGAGATGTTATACAAGGTATGGCTATCATTTAGTGAACTTATTGGGGATGACTTAGGCAATGAATTGATTAATAATGGATCACCCTAGACTGAAAGTGTTGTCATGGAATGTTAATGGTTTGAGAAACAGGGTTACAGATGTTCATTGTTATGTGATGGGAAATGATATTGATGTTGTAGCTCTCCAAGAGACAGGGGATAGGAATGAAGGCTTATTGAAATTAAATGGCTAAAGGGTTTCACCTCTTCGCTGCAAATAACATCAGAGGCACGTCGATTTATGTTAAGAACTCCATACCAGCAGAGTTAGTAGAACCGCCATCAAAAACGCAAGGTATAGAGAGTGTCTGTGTTAAATTATCATTAAGGGAAGGGGAATTTATTGTAGTTAATTTGTATGTATCCAGGAACTGCTTCGACGCTAACTATTTACCTGACTGCATTTATACTAATCCTTCACTGGTCATTGGGGACCTTAATGCTCGGCACACAAGCCTTGGGACAGTGGGTAGTATTAATACTAATGGGGTCAAGTGGTTACAGTTTCTACAAGATCATCCAGATACCTGTCTCTTGGGAAACAATGAACCAACTCACATCAGGGGAGGACGGCTTGACTATGCCTGCGTTTTAAACTCTCAGGGGATTATGGGGGAGGCTCGGGTTGTTCGGGAACTACTTAGTGACCACTTTGCCTTGAACGTTGAATTACCACTGGGGAAAAAACAAGTCCACTTTCAAAGGAAAAGGCTAAATATTAATAAAGATATGAAAAATTACTTTATTCAAAATATGGGAGATTGGTATCAACATTACACGCCGCTCTGCGTTGATAGTTTTTACGAGGATATGGTCGAGAACAGAGAAATTAGTACAGAGGGAAAATAACGGGGGCAGGGGAAGCAAGACGCACGGACCTAAGAAATTTAAATATTCCAATGATCAGCAAGTCAAGGGATGGGAGAGAATGCTACGGAGTGCGCATAAAGCATGGTTAAAAAATGGAATGAGGGATGAAGAGAAAAATACAATGTTGGAAGTGGCTAGGGAATGCAGTCAGGTGAGGAAGGAGGCGCGGGACAGATACTGGCAAGAATTTGCTCAGTCCATTGGTAATACTAAGAACCTTAAAGACATATGGAGAGCAGTAAATAAAGTCAGGGGTTGTAAGACCAAATTCATTGCTCACTCAGATCCAGGGAAAGTTGCTAATGAGTTAGTAGATAAATGGGCAAGTGCTGCTGGTATGGAGTCCTTACCTGCAGACACGAGAGTCACCATTGAGTCATGGGAAAATATTAGAAATGGAGTAACTTTATGTGCCTTAAATACAAGATCTATAACATGCACTGAGATAACCCACGATGAGCTACTGGATGCTATAAAAAGTGGCAGTTCCACTGCTCCGGGAAAAGATGGAGTAACGTATGACATACTTAATTATTTAGCCGGTATGAAACCTAATCCCTTACTTGATTTGTTTAATATGAGTTATAGAGAGGGAAAGTTACCAAGAAAATGGAAAGAGGCTGTCATCATTCCTATCCCTAAGTCAAACGGAGGCTACAGACCTGTCTCCTTAATATCCTGCTTTTGTAAAATGATGGAAAGGATTTTGTTAAATAGGCTACTCTACCTTGTAGGTGATAACATGTCCAGTAATCTCTTTGGTTTTATCAAAGGCAAAAGTACTGCGGATTGTCTCTTAAAGTGCTTGTCTAATGTGGATGACAATTGTAGAGTTTTTGTTGATCTACAAGGAGCGTTTGATAAAGCCAATGGGGAAGTAATCTTATACGAATTAGCCAATCTGGGAATAACAGGGAGATTGCTACACTGGATAAGGGATTATCTACAAGGCAGAAAAGGTCAGGTGTATTACCAGGGATACATGTCTGAGGAACGGAGGTTTCAGTTAGGTACCCCACAAGGGGGAGTATTAAGTCCCACCTTATTCAATGTATTAATGAACAGATTAGCATCAGAGATGTATCCTCCAGGGGTCACGACGATCATATATGCTGATGACATTCTTATACAAGGCACTTCTGGGAACAAAATTCAAGATGCTCTTAACATACTTGGTACAACCTGTCACAAGTTAGGCTTAGTTATAAATGCAGATAAAACCAAATACGAGTATAGGAAACAAAGAAATATAACACTTACTCTAAATGGTGTGGAACTGAGCCGTGTACAGAAGTACAAGTATCTGGGCATGTATGTTGGATACACATGTGAGAGTAAAAATGCTGAAATAAATCCTATCAGCACCTTATGTAAAGCCCGTCTGCATCCTCTAAAAGCACTGGCTTTTTCTGGTAAAGGTGTTGGGGTACCTATCTTGCGGATGTTATACATAAGCACTGTTCGATCCCTGATAGACTACGCAGCACCCGTATTGTCTTACACAGGCCAAGGCAGAATTAAAAAAATAGAGCTGATACAGAACGAGGCTATGAGGATTATTCTTGGATGTCAAAGAAATGCAATGATTGAAATAATGAGAATGGAATTAAATTTACAGAGTGTGTGTGATAGAGTCCGTGACATTAACACTAGAGTATCTATTCGTTTCATGCGGAGAAAAGGAGGGGATAAGCTGTTTGAGAGCGTTCAGACCTGCTTGAGTGACGTACACACTTCCAGGAAACTGAGGGAGACACGCTATACGAGAGGATTAGCTCATGACCTCAGGGAATACGACGTACTTGACTGCTGTAAACCCTCTCGACAGTGTAATATGTCTGCTCCCTGGATAGTACAGAAAATAGACGTCAAAATTGTACCCCTCAAGGTGAAAAAGATTCATCATGAACCGGGACAATTACGGTGTTTGTATGGAAGCATGATATCTCGGTTACCAAGAGGCAACAGTTTACATGTATATTGCGACGGGTCGGTGGCGGAAGATGGCAGGGCAGGGTGTGGTGTCCTAATAAGGGATTATACGGAGTTTGGGACTGTGGACAGGATAATTGAACTCCGGCTTAGTAATTATATATCATCCACACAAGCTGAACTGCAGGCCATTCTGGCGTGTTTGGAGGAAGTACGTCATGACGACAAAAATGTTTTTGTATTTGTCGATAGCCGAGGAGCACTGGAGTCCTTAAACAGTCGAAACCCAGTCTTCATGTCTATAGTGGAGGACTGTAAGAGAAGAATAACTGAGATACAGCTGAAAGATTATAGTGTGAAATTCATGTGGATTCCGTCTCATGTTGGAATAGTGCTCAACGAGGTGGCGGATGACTTGGCCAAACGTGCCACATCAAAACCACAAGTTGACATTGAATGTGAATTCACAATGAGACAAATAAGAAGCAAAATCAGAAATATTCAGGCACAGGCGGGAGTGGAGAGGAGAGAGATAATGTATGAGAGAAGTCAAACCATGCAACACTACATGTATGTGAGTCAAAACACCCATTTCACTTATGGTAAAAGGAGAAATGCTTGGAGTGACTCTGTGTACATGCGGCTCAGGCTTGGGTACAAATATTACTGGGAATATGGGATAGATGTTCATGGTAATGACACGAAGTGTAAACTATGTGGTATGTTAAGGTCTCACACCCTTGCCCATTATATTCTTGATTGTCCGTTGATTAATGTATATAGAAACACTGAGATAAGGACTGTTCCTGAACAAATAGCCTGGATGTGTCACAACGGAAAGGTTGATGATATTCTTGAGAGATATAAGAATTTTGCACCAAGATTGTAATATTTTGTTGAATTATCTGCAGGTGTCTTGCAAATTGTCTATACAGTATACCTAGGTCATAAAAGTATTTGTGTGTACGTCTGATACCATACTACTTGTGAAGGAGGAAATGTATATGTTTACCTCTCAGAATGTTTGGTAATATGTTTATTGTTTGTGATGTGTGTCTATGTATATATTAACACGTTGTACTGAATGGGGTGAGAATAGCTTGAGCTACCTCATCCCTTTGTGTGTATTTTACCTCAATAAACTTATTTCAATTTCAATTTCAATTTCAATTTCAAGCCTTGAGGATTCTTTGGTGCCCCGGCACCCCAAACGTGAGAATTTTTGTTTACCTGTCATGTGTCATTGATCGTGTTACTGAATTACATTTTCTTATTGATATGAATATGGTTAGGCTAACTAACCCTTGCACAAAACCTTAACTTTTATTAAATGTCAACTGTTCGAAAAAAGAATTATTAAAAACTGAACTCTCATAATTTGTACTAGGGGGAGACAATGCCACTTTCCGGCACCGTGAGAGGAAATTTCAAACCCTCCCTTTTCAAATCTTAATCCCTCCCTTTTCAGTCAAGAAGCAAATTAAATTTCAGCCCAAACTTCATCTTTAGACAAAGCTCAACGCATTAAGCCATGTTGCTAATATCCACAGTATCAACATGGATTTTCCTCTCAAACAATATACAGTACACTATTGGTTTCCAACACCACCCGACCGGTGGTGTAGGTATGGTGTACTACATCGTTCTGGCATAGCTGAAAGTGCAGTTGTCCTGACCATGGGCGATTGCTTATTTTGGGTAGCGAGTTTTGTACTTTTTTTTTTAGGATTTGATGTCCAAAGGGCTTGGAAAAGATGAGGGAGGAAGAAGGATTGGGATATTAACTTATTGAAGATGATTTGGATGGAGAACAAGGAGGCTTGAAAGTTCGATGGCCTATCCACCATAGGTTGCCATGATGCTTTGATCTTGGAACTTTGTTGATCTTTAATTCTTATTCCGCGGCAGGGGGCTAGTGTGACGGCTGGTGGTTGTCCTGGTTTAGGTGAGGTGCTCTTGTCTGGCTTGGAGGAGGCGTCTTCCCTATTCAGTTGGTGAACCTTTTTTCTATTGACTGAGGTATTATATTCTATCATCGGGATAGGATCGCTTGAAAAGTTTGGTAGTGGAGTTCCTTCCGGTTCGGCGATTTCGGCAGAGAACGGGTTGTGGCCGCCCAAAGTTGTACCTCGGGTCGTAGTACTCTTAACTTTAGGACGGAGGTCCTGTCTTCAAGACTTGACAGATTAACAAAGATCCTTTATCTGTAATTGCGCTCAACTATCAATTTTAACGTGATCGTGTCTGAAGCAAGACATTTATAATTATATATGTCTTGCAATTCAATTATAAATGATGGCAACTGACCACTTCATGCGGATTCCATTTCACATCAACGCCATCTCAGGTTGGCCTCAATGCACAAGAGCTGATGAGAATGAAAGGATCCGCTTCCAAAGGAGTCGACTGTCCTACAATTATCTGTAAACAACTTTGTAAAAATACAAAACCAACAAACCTTGTGGATCTGAGGCAGTGAAATCTATACTAGCAAGTCCATCTATCATGCTATCTATCTATCACAAGTCTATCTATCACATGTGCGTCATTCAATATCAGATTAGATGTTACACTACTACTGCTCGGCTTAGACTTCGAGTATCTTTGAGAATTTGCATTAACTTTTTTTCGACCTGACGTCAGCAAAAATTATTCACACGTCATAAACGTCACGGATGAGAAGTGCGAAAAGAAACGCATTTAGACATTTCTAACAAGAAATGTGCTAATAATCAATTCTAAATTATGTGCTCCAGAAATTTTAATCAAATATTCCTAGTTTGCTAACCTTTGGTAGTAAATGCAATGAACTCTTTCCACCGTCACTCAAGTATGGGGTGATGCGATTTGATTAAGCAAATCAAATTATGAAGCTTGCTCATCGCATATGCAAGTTGTTTAGCTTGAGATTATACTCGTGGTCGTTCTTCAGCCCGTTAATAATAGTTAATATTAACTTAAAACTGTAACTAGCTTATCAAGACTAACTTGGCAAAACGAATTCTGAGCTTCACTTCTTGAGCCTATCAATCTTTGCCCACTACCGCCCACAGAATGGTTATGGGGATTCACTACCGCCCACATGAGGGGTATGGGGTCCACTACCGCCTACAGGATGAAAAAAGTCGGCCTACAAATGAAAACTGTGCTGCCCATTTTAACTTGTAAACTAGGCAAGGCATCGATTTTAAGAGCACCTAATTTTTAAATGTACGTTATAAATTTATTTCTGCTAGGTAAGCGTTCAAATAGCATTAAATAATGCTATTTAAAAAGCATTTTTATTTTATATGTAACAGCCTAGCATTGCACCGGAATAATGGAGAGTTGCAAATGTCAATCTAAGATGGATTGTTATTTTTCTTCAAATTATCGCTTAATTGGCTTTATGTATTGTGGAAGAATTTATTTTATCTAATTGTAAAAAGCCATTCATCTACATCCTGAAAAGCAGATTAAAGATTCAGAAGTCACCCAAATGTAAGCTTACGTGTCATTTGTTTTCGTTGTACTCCAGCACGTATATCCGAGGCAGTTTAATTTTTCAAGCGTAGTTTAGACATTCATTATTTGTATAGACAAGTTTGGATTGATATCAATAGTTGCCACCTCGAATGGCGCCCTTGTCCTGTACATTCATCTCCCCGGTGAAATTTATGCTCGCCTATAACAGTTTCCGCTAACTTAGCAAGACTGTTGGCTTTTCGAGGTCTCCTAAGGTCTGCCGACCTTCTCCAGCATGCGGCATGCGACCTACAACAGATTTAAACTACCGGGTACCCGTTTACTGCTAGGTGAATAGATGAAACGAAGAAAAAAAACTGCTCAAACGCTTCTGTCGAACCGCGGGAATTTAACCGTGAAGCCTCTCGCAGGGTTGAGTAACCGTTTTTGGAACTTAAGCCAAAACTAGCTAAATGGGCTCCACGCTCTGTTCAGTGTGGCTATTCAAACAGCCTGTCGTCCTAAGGTTTCCCAACGTCAAGAAACCGTCGTAATAAAGTTGCCTTACCCTAACCTACCAGAGAACCCAGGATTAAACGCGACAGTATGTCAATTTCGCGAGCCGCTACCATTTTCTAGTACGACAGTTTCTGGCCTTGGGTAAAGTATGTCAAAATGCAACGTTCTACTAGGCCGGGTCGATTCAAAGGCTAAATACATGTAGATA